TCAGCATCCGAACACCTGTAGAATGGCAAAGCCTCCCATGTGCATCTATTGCATCGCCAGTTGTTCACCATTGATTTCAGGTACACACACTTTAAGTGAAAACATCCCATACAATTGGCACATGAAATGTTCTTTTGGTTCCACTTAATTGTTTTCTGACAGTGATCGCACTTTGCCGCTGTTGGTTTCGACCTGGATAATTTATTATTGGTGCTTGAGGCGTTTCCCTGGCTAGGTCCGGGATTTTTTCCACATCACCGCTTAACAAGAGCGCTTGAGTAGCCATAGAATTACTGTAACAGGCAATGCGTGTTTTGGAATATCGTAGCTTACGCCATTTTGTGAATAGATTAGAATCTACTGTTTCATGCCAGGCGCGAAATAGAACAAAGGAGATTTTTTGATGGTTACGCTCCATCACCAAGAAATTCCACGCACTCTTGAATAAAGACCCATCGACTGCAGGCGTTAATTCCAAGGGCTCTTCATTGCGGAGTACTCCTGGGACAACCTTCCACTCTCGTATGCAAATTCAGAACTCCCTTACGAAATCTTTCCAATCTTGGGCTTGAAACAATACAAGCTCCTTCAAAAATGAGCCCCTCAAAAAGGGTCTTCGAAAAATATAAGCCCTGGGGCTTATTTTCGGAATTTTACGGTATGTCATTATAACAACATAATCAATTAGCTAACTTAAGTCTGTTAAGTTTTAACCAGTATATTTTCTTTTGTTTTAAGACAATGGCTCAAAGCGTCAGGAAAGGAGATCGTGACTAAAGTCTAAGTAAACTAGTAGACCACGAAGAAAACATAATAAATTAATGTAAAGAATTAAATAAATATTAATTTGCTTCAAGAGCCATTATGGCTCTTGTTTGATTTGTATATTGGTCATTGTTACATTCCTAGACTTTCACTCAACTAAACAGGGACTGCCATTGGTTGATTCTTGGTCACGTGGCCTTGACTAAATCAAATGTATCCCGATCGTGATACATTAAACAATGTACCCCGCTCGGAATACATTGCAGCACGTGATCAAAGCATGGTGGAAAGTGGCGTGACAGAAGGCGGGAAAAACACCGCCAGGTCCTGCCAGTTTTTTTTTCGTGAATGAATACAACAACACAATCACGAAGCCTCAAGCTAAAAAGCAAAGTTATCCCAGAAGTTCCTAGAAGATAAACAGCAGCTAGTGGAGGAAAAAGATGCAGATAATATAAGGAAAGTATTGTTGTTTGTAAATCATTCATTCAGTGGTTTTGAGAAGTAAATTTGTGTTGTTATAGGTACCGAGTCGACTGTTTTGGTTCGCTTCGGTTATTCTTTTGTTGCTGTTGAAGTCAAAGTCTAGAAATATAACAAAACACTTAATGTTAGGTCCCTCGAGAAACCAATTAGTTTTGTTTTCCCTAGAGTCCTGATGTTTCCCTCGACTTCGTCTCGGGAAACATCAAGACTCTCGAAAAAACAAAACTAACTGTTTCCTTTGGGATGTGACATTAAGTGTATAATGATCCATAAGACCGAAACAAAATAAATTACTGTCGAACCTATACCAACGGCCATCTTTCAACAACTGCCACATTGTCTGTTTACAGTCCCGTAAGATCGTCAAGATCGGGTGCTTACTCAAACGGGTGACCATATTGGTTTATGCATCCCGAGGGGTTGGGTTGGTAGATTTGATACTCTTCCCCAGGTTACATTTGCTACATTTAAAACCGTCTGACCAGCGTTTACAGGAGAGGGAGGAAGATCCTAGAAGGTGAGACATCTTTTCGTCCGGTTTACATGATGATTTTTCAGTCCATGTGGTTACCAAAAAAGCGAAGGAATTAAAGATGGCGAGTGACAATAGCCAACATGCAATTTAATATTTGGGCTCTTCTGCTCTCTTCCCTAGCATGTAACTACCTTTCATGGTGGTCGGTTGCTAGGGCTTTTGCTCCCACGCCTCTCAAAACTGAGAGTTTTTGGCCATAGAGAGAAGTAGAATTTATCGAATGTAACAAAACTTGGCAAGGAAGTAAGTTGATAAATTACCTATTTCTTGGTGTTTATTTCATCCCATGTGACTTCTATTGGACGTCATAAATGATGTCCAAATTTGGCATCAGAAAGAAAATTCAGGAAAGAAATGGTAAAACTTTTACATTAGTTTTCTGTATAGAATTCTATGATTTCTGGTGAAAACTCCATCTCAATCGGATGAAAAGGCGCAAAGTTACATTTAATTAACGAAATTCAAATTTCCCGCCAAATGACCATATATGGTCAAACTTTAGAGGTATTTTAACGCGAAAACAATGAAGGTAGTCGCAACGGAGAAAAGACAAATTTGCATAAAATCAAAATTGTAGTTTTTTGAATTCGGCATGTGTGGTGCTATGACGCGTATTTCGTCATATATGTCAGATATGACGTCATAAGTGACACCTATTTTTAGACATTTTGACGTCATAATGATGTAATTTGTGACGAAATACGCGTCATAGCACCACACATGCCGAATTCAAAAAACTACAATTTTGATTTTATGCAGCTTTGTCTTTTTTCCGTTGTAAATGCGTTCATTGTTTTCGCGTTAAAATACCCCTAAAGTTTGACCATATATGGTCATGAGGCGGGAAATTTGAATTTATTTAATTACCTGTAACTTCACGCCATTTTATCTGATTGAAATGGGGTTTTCACTGTAAATATTGTTTTTCTGTAACAAAAATGTTTGTCACATTTTGAACACGGTTTATCAAATTTTTAACTTTGTTACTAAAAATAGGTGTCAGTTATGACGTCATACTTTCAAGAAAAGTCAAAAATACCTTTACAATTGTAAAAATTTAAGGAAAACTTTTCTCCAGTTAAGATGTTCTAATGTTTTGCTTCATTTGAAATATAAACTACCCCTCTGTAAGCAAGAAATTGAATTTAAGAACCTAATGGGAGCAAAAGCCCTAGCAACTCACTATCGTGTTTCAGCTGAATTATCACAATCATCAGGTTATGGTAACGACGCTTAAAGTTTAATTAAAGTGATCACAACTTTTTTCTGGTTTGTCCCTTATAGCTAGTACTAGGATCTTCCTAGAAAAAGCAGCGGACATGGTGCGAGGGTCTTCCTCGTGCTATGATATTTCTTCTACCTCTCAGCTAGAAAGATTCCAGCGCTAGGGACGACAAGTACAGCCTTTGTCATGTAAACTGTAGAAAACCTACGGCGCTAGGATGATCCGCCTTGTTGGAACTTCCTCAGTTGGTGTTAGGATCTTTCTCCCTCCATGTAAACAGCTCCTATGTGCGCATGCTCGATCTCGACAAGGTAAGGAAATGAGGATTGGTATCTGCCTTAAGAGCCACCTTTGTTTTTTCCGATGAATTCATTCACCCCTGTTTAAAATTTTTTACAATTGCGACTACCCCACAAGGTAACTCAACGTTTATTCTCTCCTCCCATCATGCATGGAATTTGGGGATAAGTTCGACCGAAATTTATCTTTTATATCTTTTTACTATCGTCGTAAAATAGGGTATGCATATTTAAATATCCTATAAAGTAAAAATTGGTATTTTTTTTTAACCATGAATAGATTTTTTAACTGGAATAAAACAGAAAATGTCTAGATCCATGAGTTTTCTCTGTTAAACAATAAAAACTGACAAGCAATTTTTACAAGAATGGATACCGGTCTAGAGAAGAAGTTACAGGTGTCCAATAAAGTTCTGTTAATAACGCTTCTACTCGTCTATTAATTGAATTGATTTCATATATTTTTATAATTATATACCGTCGTAAACTCTGCTAGTTGACCGCCCAAATCGCCACAACGGACACTTTTCTCGTCACGGTGAAAAAAAAACTTACTCTCGCTTTAGTTTCTGAAAAAGGGCGGCTTAACCTTTCTCCATTGGCGCTGTTTTCTGCCTAAAATAGTACGTGGCAGACACACGTGTACAGGGGCGAAACGAGATAAGAGGAGAAACGCGAATGGGACATTAGAATGTGGGTGGTTAAAGAATAAGTACTTCGCGCGCAGTTTTAAAATAAGAGTTCCAGTTATTTAAAGCCTTTACGAGAGTACTCTTGCATAGAGTTAGCTGCGACTACAAATAATCTCTATAAATAATAGAAAACAGCAATAAGCGAAAAGTAGAAGACACGCCATCTTCTTCGGTTTTTAAAATGAAGGACGATGCAAACCACTCCCGCGCGCGAGGACCCTTCTGGTAGATTGCTTTTAAAACAAGTCGGATTTTAGCTCCAAAATCCGGGAATATCAGGTTTAACCAGTTTGGGTTAAATTGTAAACCTGAGATTCTGTTATCCCCTCTTTTAAGGCCAATAAATGCTCATTTCGCACATTAGCGAGTTTTTTTTTAGATAATGCTACATTTATAGATTAAGAACTCTTTTCTTTAAGAAACGCTAACTGTTCAATATCCCTCATGCTGTCTAATTAGCATTAAGATATACCCCTAGCTATAGCCCCTCCCAGTCGAAAAATGACAAAGGAATAGCACGCCGGTTCCTTACTGAACCGCACTCTACAACAACAACACCAAATGGTTTATTTGCATGACCATAAAGGAATTACAGTATTGCAAAAGCTATTAGTCTAAATTTAAGTACTAATTCAACTAATTAGTACGTGCAAAACATTACAAATCGTTGCAGTTCTCATTCATTCATTCATTGATATTAATTTGGTTCTTAATTCAAAGCATTGCGAGATAAATGAAGAAAAGGTAGGGTTTGGTGGGAGGGGCGAACTTTTCTTCGGCTGACCGTTGCGAATTGACAACCCTTGCATTAATTAACATCATGAGAGATCAAGAATATTAAATGAGGTTTGAATAGCAGCATGTTCTGCATGTTGATGTTTTCTAAGAGCCTGTTTACGAGGAGAAAGCGTTACCCTTGTGCTTGGGTTACCCAGCAAGCGGGTTAACGTTAGCTCTTGTTTACAAGCAAATTTCACAGGTAGGGTTACTCTCTCACCCGGGTCAACTTTATCACCTTTACTGTGACTTTCCTTGTAACGTCCAAGATTTGAAATAAAACTTGAAGTTCTCTATGGAAAACATGTTAAATTTACGAAAAAAACGTGAAAATATTATCAGCGTATGCAGAAAATATCTTATATCGTTCACAAATTTTGTAATTTAGCATTAATTTTTAGAAATTGGATAATTCCGTTTTAAGCTGGTCACGCATGACGGAGGAAAGTTGTCCCGGGTAGGCTTCGTTTTCTATTGGTTAGTTAGAAAATAAGAAAAGTTTTCATTGGTTAATTCATAGTGCCTGAGGAGTAAAGTCAAACTTGTCTCTGACTTAAAATCACTGAGACGTAACGTAATTATGCAAGTCCTATTTTCTGCTGCTGCGATTGTCCTGGTTCCGGTTCACTGATTTTTGGCAGGCAAATCGTGCATATTAATAAGGGCAAAGGCCAACTAGCTCTTTTTTATACTGCAAACAATGTTTTACTCACCCCTCTCCTTTTCATTTTTTTTACTTTCCTCCTCCTCCACAATTTTATTATTTTCGTTCCTCAATTTTTTTACTGAACCGCACTCTACAACAACAACAACAACAACAACAACAACAACACCAAATGCTTTATTTGCATGACCATAATGGAATTACAGTATTGAAAAGCTATTAGTCTAAATTTAAGTACTAATTCAACTAATTAGTACGTGCAAAACATTACAAAACGTAACAGTTCTCATTCATTCATTCATTGATATTAATTTGGCTCTTAATTCAAAGCATTGCGAGATAAATGAAGAAAAGGTAGGGTTTGGTGGGAGGGGCGAATTTTTCTTCGGCTGACTGTTGCGAACTGACAACCCTTGCATTAATTAACATCATGAGAGATCAAGAATGTCAAATGAGGTTTGAATAGCAGTATGTTCTGCATGTTGATGTTTTCTAAGAGCCTGTTTACGAGGAGAAAGCGTTACTCTTGTGCTTGGGTTACCCAGCAAGCGGGTTAAAGTTAGCTCTTGTTTACAAGCAAATTTCACAGGTAGGGTTACTCTCTCACCCGGGTCAACTTTATCGCCTTTACTGTGATATTCCTTGTAACGTGCAAGATTTGAAATAAAACTTGAAGTTCTCTATGGAAAACATGTTAAACTTCCGAAAAAAAACGTGAAAATATTATCATCGTATGCAGAAAATATCTTATATCGTTCAGAAATTTTGTAATTTAGCATTAAATTTTAGAAATTGGATAATTCCGTTTTAAGCTGGTCACGCATGACGGAGGAAAGTTGTCCCGGGTAGGCGAGTTATCCCTAGCAGAGCATTTACAATGCAGGTAGGATAACCCTAACACTCAGGTAGGTTACCCTAACCCTACCTGCCTTGTAAACACGTCGTGTAAAGAAAGAAGAAATGTGCGAGTAATCCTAGCACCAGGGTTACCCTTCCTCCTTATAAACAGGCTCTAAGACGAGAAATCATGTATAGAAAGTCTCTAGAGTGTTTTGTCACATATGAAAAATTGCGAAAAGCAGCATTCCTACATTCCCTGTGATCCAAGTGGAATTGCAAATGTATTAATTGCCTTGCTGAATTAGGCATTTTTACACTTCGCGCTGTCTTATATTGTGTTTGGTCTTCTGCTGTTCAGCCTTTTCCGAAATTTTAAAACAACTTGAGAAAGGAGGGGTGGATGAATGAGTTTGCGACGAAAAAGAGCTGTATAGGACAACGTTTTTAGTGAAGAAACGCGAAAAGAAAAAAAAAGGTGTTTTTCAGTAAACCCCGTCGAAGGAGGTCCAGGCAAAGGTATTTAAAATATATATGTGATGACCCATTGTATATTATTGGAGTCGGTTGTTTTTCCTTTTATATAATTATTTATTAGAGATATTTGTCCCAGCTAAGTCAAATATGTTGAATTATATATGAAAACATGTTGCGTTTTATGTAAATTAACAAGATTTCCGTAAAGCCCTATACACAGACATATTTATCATATATTCTCGTTTATACGCCTCTATTTATATAAACTGTCACATTGCTTATTGCTGCTTGATTAGATTTATATTCATTGCCTTTATTCTTTTATATTTATTTTATCATACACGTACATGTTTTAAGGAGGACATTTGTGCTCCTTGTTGACTGATTTGTATGAAATAGTTTAAGTTTGTGCATGACTGTATAGGGAAGCCGGGAAATTGTTATTGCGGGAAGTGTTTGTCTCCAGTGTCAAATCTTAGTGTCATAGTTTTATCTGGTCTTGGTAGGGAGAAAGAATTATACACTGAAAATTACTTCTGGTGAAACTACAGGGGAATGCGATATGCATGGATTGCCTTCGAAGGTACAGCTTGGCGGGGAGATCATACTCAATAACTTCGGACACCTTCAGGGAATTACGCGCCGGGAAATATTAAGACTGTGAAATATTACTGCCATTGTGGGGTAAATCTAGTACAGGGGAATACTGAATATGAATACCTTCGCCGGGGAAGAATAGCTACAGGGGGACCTTTGGATACCTTCAGGGAACTACGGGGAAATACACAAGACTGTGCATACCTTCGGGGGAATAACTACAGGAGGATACATTATGAGTATAGTATAGTCTCTTGTTACTGAACTAGGAGGCTTTAGTGCTCTAACTAAAGAGTTATAATCACAGCTGAATAACTCTGTCCGTTCTCCCCTGTGACAATCAAAAAGCCTTCAAAAACTTTTTATGCAACAGTTGATAACAGTCAAACCTCTCGTAAGCTGGGTAAAAAAGCAATTTTTGTCATGTCTTATTCTGATCAAATAGCGAATCTGTAATAAAATAGCCTGCGAACAGTCTCCCGCGTGGCGCGGGGCGAAAAAGAAAATTGCGAGCGTGGCCTGGGTCGGGAGACAAAAAGGTGGGGGAGCCTGTACATAGACTTTGCTTTGATGCTTCTCATCCACCCACTTGCAATAATTATCTTGTAAAACATTATCAAGAGAGAATGAACTAAGAGATCAAATCCCCCTTACATCACTCTCTTCCCATGAAAATTATTTTCAATCTATTCTTGGTTCTGTGTCATACTGCATGGTTATTTTAAGGACGCCACATTCAGTTTAGCTTTCGAAAGCGACGGCGACCACCTTTGTGGATCACCAGCTGGTCAGTCTCGGGTTTTCTAATCTTCTCTATGTTTTTTTTCGGCAGTTAATCTTACATAAAAGTATTTTAAACCACCCTCCTTCCTGAAAGAATTGAGGATATGAACACATAACATGAGAGTTCATTAGCTTCGAATCACAGGAGTGTGACTCTTAATCAAAATTATTATATTTGCTGAATATTGTTATTGTTTTCGCACAATATGTTGTTAACTGAAAACATAAGTATGCCAGTTTTTTGCTAAAAGTTCTCGTAAGCGACCACTCTTAACAAAATTACCATATGGTAATTTTTTCGAGAGGCCAGTTCTTACAAGCGACCACCTTTAGTTGAGACCACTCCAGTCCCCTTTTTTTTTGCAGGGAAGGGGGCTCAAAATATACGTACTCCATTGGTTTAAGGCACCTCCAATAAGAAACACTATTGCAAAAATCACAGTCACTGGTGTTGTTGGAAGCCATGTTCAGATTGGCCTTTATGGTGCCCCCTCAGTTAAGCGGGCTGACTTGACTCCGTAAAGATCATACGTACTTGTATACTGGGGTCATCTTAACAAACCAAGATATTTTAAATATTAGCATGCCGGCCTCACGTCATTGTCTATAGACATTTTCATTATATCTAGGTTTAGCGCTTTGTCAATGAAAATGGTAGTAATAATAACAATAATATAACGAGATCAATCGCGTCCGACCTTGGGTTCTGTCTTCTTGTTTTGATCAGAGTGAAATTTTGACTTAGTTTCCAGATTTGTGTCTCTTCAAGAAGTCAAAAATCGTTTTTAATTGTCATCATCTTTGGCCAAGTTAGCAGGTGCTACCATATAGCAGATTATAAGATAGGAGACACGAGAGGAGACTGAAGAAATTCCCGTTCGTCGATTGAATCAAATTTAGCTCTGAGATATTCCAAAATTATAAAATTCCCGAATGGCGTATAATTAATTGATTAACAATTACATACCGTGTGGCACTTAAATTTTGCGAGAGCTTATTTTTGTGGATCAATAATTTTATCGTATTTTGGAGAATCAAAGTTTTTACTACAGACGCCTCCTGTCTAGTTTGCTCACTAAAAATTAATTTATGCGATCATTGGCATGCGAGTTCAAATACAAGCGCGTTGAAAAAAGAAAGAAAAGCGGAAAATAAGCTTTCTGTAATGGATCTTTTTCAAAAATACCATAATACTCTCTGTTGCCCCTCCAAAATTTCGCAGAAGCATTGTTTTCAATTTCTCTTGGGGCAGATCATCCATTATTGCTGGTTTGCAAATAACGTCACGGCCTTTGTTTTTGGCCATGTTGGTGGGAAGTGAACTCATATTTTTATGTCAATTCTTCGAGAAAAAATTCTTTTGTATTGACCCCCAACATGGCCGTCACGTGGTTGCACAGCAAGAATTGAACCGGCTGGATATATCTTTCGAAGTCTTGTTTATTTCTTTTAATTTCTATTTCTCAGTCTATTTACATTTTTGCAAAATGTCATTTGTCGTACAGGCGTTCCTAAATTTGCATTTATATTAATATATGGAAAAAAGTTTACAAATCAAACTATAGTTAGAAGAGGAAACTGGTTAGGAAACCCGGCAAACATCAAAGTTGAAAACATTTATGGTGCTGTAGGTTATGTTGGAATCTCCCTGACCGTGCGCAATCGTCTTGTTTTCGTTGTGCACGGTCAGGTACAAAAAATTAAGCTAACAAAAACCTATAATAAAAGGTTTCCCAACCATTGCACTTTAATTAACTATGATCAAACGCAGAGGCTCGCAGATGCAAACGTTTCTATTGTACTAAAATATGTGGCACTATAGTTATTAAAGTGGAATGGTTGGGAAACTCGTTAGACTCCTTTGTTATTTGTTTTTGTTAACATTTTTTTGGACCTGACCGTGCACAACGTTCAATAGCATTCCTATCATTTTGAACTTACCTACCAATAGAAACATCGCATTAATTTATTCAGTCACAATTTGTGAACAAAAAACGAAGGATTGTGCACGGTCAGGGAACTTCCAACATAAACTACGGCACCATTGTTTTCAACTTTGATTTTTTCCGGGTTTCCTAACCAGTCTCCTCTACTATGGTAGCATAGAATGTACTATTTGATGATCTGTCATAACATGTCATAATCAAGCGTCCTCAAAAATTGCAGGATAAGCTGGCACTTCAGGAGTAGCCTGATTTGTCGAACAGTCGTTCTTAAATTAGAAAGCACATTAGAGTAATGTGAAAATTATATTACAAATGTACACGTTTATATTGCACTAAAATATGTGGCACAGAATGTACAGCTTCATGATCTATGTCATAACATGTCTTGAACAACCATGGATATTGACGTATTACCGTCCTACGGCGGGGTACGCTGGTTTGTCAGGCTACCCCTGAGGGCCTCTTCAGCATATATGACAGGGGAGATTAAAGTCTTGTGTCAAATGGTCCTGTTCCATGTTCATCGGCCAAGGTAATATTGATGTACGTTCTCTGCCAAAAAGGGATTAAATAGATAGAAGAATATGTCAAGTAATATATCAAGCATGAGACGCAGTGTTTTATCACCAGATAAAACACTGAAACAAGAAGCGCGGTAGAGTATTTTTGACGAACTTTGAGGTGTTTCATCTGGTGATGAAACACTGTATCGAACGCTTGATTTTACTTCTCAAACAAAATGATTTTAGAAGGAGAAATTAAGGATGCAAAAATTAGCAGTTTTTCATCTGATTCCTAAACACTCATTAAACATTAATTTACTTTGTATTTTCTTTATGAACTATTTCGCCCCATTTAAGGGAATCTGGATTCCGAAATCCGGGAAATTTGTTGCTTGTGGAATCCGGAATCAGGGAAATTTTTGTTTATGGAATCCGGGATCCTGGGCTTTGGAATCTCGAATACAGCTCAAGAAATCCCGAATCCCACTAACGATGATTGGAATTCAGAATCCAAGTTCCTCCGACAAAGACTGAAATCCTGTACCTGGAATCCAGAATCCACGGCGTGGAATCCAGAATCCAATACTGTCTTGGATTCCCTTACACGGGGCGAATTATTAATGAATGTGAGAAACCATTTTAACGTTAACGCTTAAGCAGGCCGTGGCAAATAGTTCCGCCCACTCGCGCCGGTTCGAACCACCTAGAGTAAGGGATAATGTTTAATACACTCTCTCATCTCTGTCCGTCGCGACTCAATGAAAAAAGAAATATTCTATGGGTTAACACGAAATAACATGACGTGTTTGATTTTTTCAGTCCCTGCTTCCGGCTCAGTTGTTTGAAGGTCGATTAGCGCTTAACCCGGGGTTAAATTAAACCCGCGCTTCTCTTTCTTGTGTTCAAAAGCATTTTCTCGGATTATTTTCTCTGTTCTATTTAGAGCTTTCAATCATCAACTTGCAGACAAAAAGAATTAAAACTGAAATGCTTTTTAAACTTTCAAATCTAAATTCGAATCTCGCACTAACCCTGGGTTACCTTAACCCAGCTTTGAACAACTCGGTCCCGGTGTTTAACCCTTATAATTTGATTGTTCTTCTATCATTCGAGTTTCATTTGCTTAGCCTTCTTTCTTACAGATATTGCTCCTTTGTATCTTTATATCGACAAAAATTGTGCCGGTGACATTTTTTCTGAGATCGAGTTTGCTTAATACCGACACTCGCCTCCCACGCAGGCGTTTTTTGGGGAGCTGGTCTTTAGTAGTTCAAAGTACAAGAAAGAACAATGAACACTAACTAGTTGTTTGATTACAATGTATCCTTCTTCTTTGGCAAAGTCCACTGTAACTTAGCATGATACATTACTAGACTCCACAAAGGTTCCATTCATATTATCACATGCTCATCATCCACATGTGCTCCTCTTTTTGCCGTACACTGTCCTTTCCCAGTCAGTTCTCTTAGTGCTTCGGTTCATTCACAACAGCGTTTTTTCCCTCCCACCCACCCTTTGTTCTGACTGGAACCTTTGTTTAGCTCTCCGATTAATGCTTATGTTGACTACATATTTAGCACGACGGACCAGAACGTGTTTCAAGCAGATCATTATTTTATTCCCCTATATCTATAGGTATCCTTAAGATTAATCATTTATATTATGGCGTTATACTTGACAAGGTCTCATTCCTTCATTAGGTTCCGGGGATGTGGAACTGCTGTCTTGCTTCCCAATAAAAGGAGTGGCAGGGAAGTGCAACCCGTGGCTGCACTTTACCCCACAGTAAGGCTTAGCCCTTGGAGGCAGGTCCAGAAAAATATTCACTCCAGGGTGTGGACCCCCGGTTCCACCTGATCTGCACTCCACCCAGGAGGGCCACCCCTCCTGGTTCCCCTTAGTTCCTTGTGACTGGGGGATATGGGCCTCACCCCCGAAGATTGATCAGGACTCCTGTCCAGGGTGGCTACCCCCGGTACCACTCGATCTTGTCTTCCCCCAGGAGGGCTTCTCTCCCGGCCCCTTACCCCTAGATTTAAGCGCTTCCCTGCCACCAGAATTTTGCCCATTACCTTTTGTGTATTTTCTCAGTGGTACCCGACATAGAGCCTTTATGCGAAAACACTACCAATTGGAAGAGTTTATTCATAGAGTCTCCTTGAAATTCGCTTAATTAATGAAGTTATTTTTTAGGTAAGAAAAAGTACTTCATCAATTATACCCTACAACGGTTAGCCACTCTGTTTCAGCTTTACGTTCTTATATAATTAACTTATTAATCAGATTATTGACTTTATTCAACAAACTGAATACGCAATAGTCGGCGCTTTCTGTCTATACACAGTATTCTAGGCGTATTTACAGGTCTAAAACTCAACAGGATTTGTACCAATGCAACCTTCTGTGTGGTCGCAAAACAAAATCGGATCAGCTGAATTCACTCTTACAGTGTAATTATAAGCTTCCGGGATCGTTTTTAACAACTGCACATATCTACCCTTTACTTACAGGGAGTTATTATCTGTAAATCCTTACCTCCTGCTCTTCGAGTATTTGACGAAGAATTACAGAAAGTTCTTCAAAAGAAGGACGATTATCGGGGGAGTGCTGCCAACACTTGAGCATGACGTCGTAACTACAGAAAAACGCAAGAAACAGTACAGTATCTTAGTTTGACAGGATGATCATCATTGTAATCCCATATATATTAAAATAAATGCATCTCTCATTACTCCTCGCCGCTAGACAGTTTCACCAGAATGACGTCTGAGTTGCAAAAAAATAAAACCTTATTAGTTCTGGCATTAGCAGCACAGCCAGGCACTTTCTGTTCCCCTCTTGTTTCTCAAAATCCTCCTTCCCGACCTAGTACAGTTAGAGAAGTTTGCTTCTCTTCTTTCCCAGTTTCATTTAAGACAGTATTTTCCCCCTTAGCTCCCCCTTATCGCCACCTTTTTTACTCTGTCGTCCACGTTTCTTCACCGCTACAGAGTTATGTATTATTCATCGCAACTCTTTGTCAAGTGCTTAAGAAGGATTTGGCGATAGTCCATGTACTTATCCAGTCTTTTTATAGTTACTCAGCTCTTTTCAAAGTCACTGACTGTATAAGATCAGACCAGTCATGGTTATCATACACTTTCATATCCTTTTCTTCCCTGTCCTGTTTTCTTTTTTGCGAGCCCTCATCTCACTCAGCAATTTCAGTTCTTCACACTGCTTTACAGACTCTACCAGTAAATCTAATGACACACAATTAATTAACTAGTAAGTTCTGTCTTCTTGCTGTCCTCAATAGTAGTTGAAGTACTGAAGACATCTAAGTAATCGCCTTCTCTTGACTCCTCTATGAGCAGACGAGGTACTCGCTATTTGTCTTTTTCTTTATAGTTTTTTAGGTACCTCTCTTGAGGGTGATTATATTTTTCAAACACCCCCTTTTCAACATTTCAAATTTTTTCGGTCTCTCCCAATTTCTTATGAGAGTTCCCTCCAACAAGTTTTTGTGAACGCTCCCCTACATACCTTAAAATTCCGTATATAAGCCCCTCCAAATATGAGCCCCTCGAACTCATAAAACAAAAAACCCTCCGTTAAATCGCCCCTCCAAATATAAGCCCCCCGGGGGCGTGTACTTGGAAATTGCCCACTAATACAAAGTAAAACAAAGCAAAAACGGTAACTTTCCTTCCAACTGTAAGGCTAGCCCAATCGATTTTGAAACGCAAATGCCCCTCCTGATATAAGCCCCTCCAAAAATAGGCCCCTCAAAAACGGCCTTTGAAAAATATTATCCCCGGGGCTTATTTTCGGATTTTTACGGTATTCCATACTGATGACGTAAATTTATCAGATCAGGAGCTCGGATTGGTCACCTAGTTTTCCTTTTTTTTTCAGCATTTTTTTACGAACAACACAGAGGTCGTATTTTTAAGGTCACAAAGATCCAATGTAAACGCTTTAAATGTATCAAAAAGCAGTCAAGTAGCAGACAAGTTTGGTGCGAATTCGCAGCAAAACTAGAAATTTCAATTTAATTGATCTAGAGAAACAACAAAATAACCCCAAATTAATTCAAATTTGAAACTTGCACCCAGTACTGAACTTTCAAACGTAATTATCTGAACAGTCTTTCTTGTTTAAATGTCCAGCCAAGCGGCGGGAAACGATATAGGAGACAAATGCAACAAACGATTTCTTTACGTTCTGATATTGACTTGCACAGCCGATGATTTGACCTCAAGATATTTGGTTTCCGATTACATTGCAAGCTACAGAAACTCTAGAATGGTTTGCAGACCTTGTGAAATATGTTACCATGTGTGTCAATATAAAACTTACAATTCTTCAGAACAATGAGCGGGTTTCTCCAATCGAGCGCCCTCTAACAGCAATTCATGAAGCTCCACCAATCCAGTTACTCCCCTGTAAGGCAGCTCTCCTATAAAGGACAGGTTTCGGAGGGTTATTATCTTGTTGATATATCCCTTTCCAAGTAGCTGTCAGAATCGTCTCAATCACCCCTGACGAATTTGGACGAATAATGAGACAAACAAAACCCAATCTAAATATGATCTTCTTCTTGTATCACGATTCTAGTTTAAAGCCTGGCAAGCTTGTTCAACCCTGGTTGAACCAGGCTTACCTGGGTTTTTGAAATGAAAAGCAAACATGAAAACCTGGGTAACCGCAGGAGCCCATAACCCGGAGCGTGCAACTGCCACAAATTCGTGCAACGGCGTTTTTACAAGTGAGCTTATTTTTAGATAAGCGTTTCCCGCGAAAAATGACTGTTGTCGCTAGGACCTTTTCACAGTCGGCTGTTTCGAAGATGATTTCGATTTCCTTTTGTGTGAATTATGCGTTATTGTTGATGAAGTAGACGTCCCGGGCTCTTCTACGTTTTGCAGATCTTCCTCTGAACTGCTAGTTTCCGTGTAAATACTGAAATTGTCGCTTGAAGTACGGTCAGAAGAATCCTCTGAAGATTCCTCACGTGCGTCCGCCATGCTTTTTTTTCAATGTGAAGGGGTTGTCCTGGTTATTAAAAGTTCATTATTGATAACGCACTTGCTTGTGACTGGCTTTTCGAAAGCAATTGCGGGAAAAGCTTATCCAAAAATAAACCTACTTGTGAAAACGCCGTTGCATAGGCGAAGTATGGAAGTTAGACGCTCCGGTTTTTGGGCTCCTGGTAACCGTTATTTTACTAGTCTTTCGGTTGAGGTAGTTGAGCGGGTTGTTTGAGTTCTATCCATCGCCCAAAAGTCCGTATTAATGTCTACCATTTCATAAATCGCCTCAATCGCCTGAACACTTTCTTGAGACGACTAAGGTCGTCAGCACGGAGTTTTTAAGTGAAGCAGCTAATATCGTTTATAATAATATTCTACTTTGAGATGTCTTCGAAAGACAAGTAGCATTAGAATTATGTTAAGCAGGTAAAAAATGCTGTTTTTTTCTGTTCAGGGAAATCTTATATCCTTTCAAGTTCAAGAAATCATTACTTATTGGAACTTACCAAGTGTAACAATTTCCCAAAGAACGACACCGAAGGACCATCTGTTGGTGATATAAATCATTTAAACTATCAAAACATATTAGAAGTTAGAGATGCAAACACATGCAGTGATGACTGTACAAATATGTGAACTTTCCAGTTACACACATATTTTGAAATACTAGTACAACTTACACATCTCCTTTGATGGTACTGATTCCCTTCAAAGCTTCTATAGACATCCAAAGCCACGGAATTCTCCCCTTGCGTATAACGATAACGACCACTATTAGATGGTGTTCTGAGTAATAGCTTCTTTAAAATATAAGATGTAATATGCCTTCTATTTCCTAACTTCCTGTATTTCTCAATATAGCTACTTGGCTTGAAGAGACACAGTTAAGTTATTTATGACTGCATATGAATAGCTATCAGAACTATCCCAACGAACTGTACCAGCTTGGCCAGTGGGCCAATGGCTTCTTTGTAGGTGTTAACTTGAGTCACGTGGTAAAAAGCCTTGCTGAAGAGGAAGAAACGCACAGGACAAACAGACAGGTTTCAGAATTGCAAATGGAAATAATCATTTTAAATAATGTAAGCTCTTTGTTTCTCTTGCCCACAAACGTTTCTTGTTCTCCAGCATAACGTTTTGGTACACGCGACTGTCCATCTGCAATCCCATTACAAAAAAAAAAAATTCTGTTTTGATCGTAAAATGTCGAAAAGATACAAGAAACAGTTACTAAGAACTTTTTACCTGCGTGGTCTTAATGTAGTGTCCATCTCTGGATATGTCACGCGACATTCCGAAATCAGCAACTTTTGCCACCAGGCCGCCTCCAACCAAAACATTTCTAGAAGCAAGGTCACGATGAACACACTGTGTTTGCAAAGAAAAAATAATATAACAACAACAACACTGAACAACAACAACAATACATTTACATGAAGGTCTAAATTGATCACCGAAATCCTCTTGGGCTGGCGCCAGTTGTTAAAAAGGTGGATAACGCAAACCACCGGATAGATCTCTATCCAGCCTATAGTAAGAACAATTGGTTTCTCCTATACCACTGGATCGCTATCCAGATTTTGACCAACTGGAGCCAGGTTATTAGTTGCGGCGTTTTAGTAGTACTTTTGGGGGTTTTGACTGTTAAGAGTTAAGATCCCTCTGAGACTGTTCATTAAGATTTCACGATCGGGGCCACGGAACGCCTATAATGACTGGATTTTACGAATTACAGACGAGATTGATTTTTCTGCAAAATAAACGGACTAATTAATGAATTAACCTTCCTTTAAGCTCATAGACATTTGAAACTTATGCCATCATGCAAGGTATATATAGCCCTCGGGTCTCAAGTAACTGTCATATATGAGTGGAAAGTAGTTTTATTTTAATGGATTGGTTTAAGAAGGATTTATTTTTCATTTAGGAAAAAAGTTCACAATTTTTTAGTGCTAGTATAATTAACGACTGCTTTTTTCTAGTCAAATTTCGTTATAAGATTGTTCAGCTATCACTTTCAATATTTACTGCTCACTCAAGACATTGATTTCAGTCTTACCTTTTTACTTTCCAAGTGCTTCATACCATTAGCAACGTCTAACGCAATCTTCAAAAGTTCCCTCTCAGTCAGCCGCGACCAAATGTTTGAGTAAGTTGGAAGGTCTCTCTCGGGTTGAACATGACTACTGCGGAGTATTTTATCAAGGCTTCCACCAGAAACCAGCTCAACAACAACACAAAGCGGCTCTGCCAAACAACAAAAAAAAGTATTGATAAATCAGAAGATGGAAAGTAAATACTCTAGATAGTGAGATATAAAAGTTGGTTTAGAAAGTATATATTAAATGGATGGATGCCTGGGTGTTAAGATAATTCATAGAGGATATTGCATGGCCGCGCGGAGATACGAAATTTCGTATCTCCAAGCGGCCATGTAATGTTCTATTTATTATATAAACACTAATGAAATACCAAACCATTTCACTTTAATAGTTTTTTGGTGTGAAAGGTGCGATTTATTATGTAGCCATAACAAAGGTGATATTTTCACATGTGAAGATATCAAGTTTTCGCGCGAAAGCTCTCCTGGTATTTCATTGGCGTTAATATAATAAAGAGTAATATTACATTGATCTGAAGGCCCCCTGTTTTGTGTTGTAGAGTTTTCTGAAATATGAGAATTAACTGCAACGCATGCCCTATATTCAACAACAACAACAAAAATAAATAATAAAAAAGATAATAATGATAATAATAATAATAATAATAATAATAATAGTAATAATAATAATAATAATAATAATAATAATAATTAAAAATAATAATAACAACAATAATAAAATTTAAAGGTAGTTTCAGCGGAAACTGTTTCAGGTCTAATCAAGTGATGTGTGCCTAGTTCTAGCGTATGTTCTAAGGTGACGAGAGATTTTTTTATCTTTCAAATTTTCAAGCATTTGCTAAAGCTCTCGTTTTGCAAAGTAAAAGGATGCCCCAGTAGAGTTTCGTCACCTGTAGCTGTACCTTGCCACAGCCCCGATTACAATTCATAAGTGTGTATGTCTTAAGGGAATGTCTGTCTACACCCTTGTTGAGATTCGTTGTTTTCAATTGTTCCAACGCTTATGATCAAGAAATGGGATTCCTCCAAGAAGCAAGCTAACGCCCTAAGAAAGTTTTATAAAATTGACGCGCAAGTATATATTTTTATTCGCGTGGCTCATGGTGATTCGACTACGCTCAGACTTTCGTTACCTTCAAATGTACAAGCTCCAACCAAGCTCACTATATTTGGATGTCGGCCAACGTGAATGAGGATTGATAATTCACGAATGAGTGCTATTCTATCTTGCTGATCAGCATTTTCTAAAAAAGGAAGGAACGTGCAGTTAACATAGCAAACATAGTGTGAAGGGCCATGGTTGTACACAAAAATAGAAAAAATCGCAGCCAATATATGTTAACTGATATATGAACACAGCCGACTCAAGTTCAGCTGGTGTGTTTGGACCAAAACAAGGCAACACCAGTCTTCTAATTTCCCTGATAGTGAATAAAGAGGTCATTTGCAGTGTTTTAGAATTAAAAAAAGAAAAAGTGGGGTGCTGAAAGTGTGGGATACTGAAACAGAAACAACTGAGGTTGATTGAAAGTGAATTTACCACCTCAAAAATAATTGGAAACTTAAAGCTTGATTCCTAGCACTCTGACGCCCTTCGCATACCAACAGAGCAATTCTTTCGCTTGCTCAATTTTTGCGTACTCGAGAAAGACCCTGCCTGAATTGAGTAGTAGTCCTAATAGTGTTCTCGTTCCAGCTAGAGCTGCGATCCTTAGCCTAATAGCGGTGCACGTGGCACAGAGAGCTAAGTTATGACCATCGGTTTTCCACAAACGGATGCTTCCGTCGGAGAAAACAGTTTCACGAGTCAGAGAAAATAAGATAATCTGTTCAAGAGGTTCGGGCTGCGGCGACTTGAAAGGCTTGAAACGACTCAGGCAGAGCCTCCTATTCTGCCCCTCGATCAAGGGGAGGCTCGTAGGGTAGCTCTTTGTCAAAGCGAGGTTGTGTACGGTTTCTGTATCGAATGAACAAGGAGTGCATGTACCCGTTTTCAGACAAAAAAGGTAATGTCAGATAACATCAAACTTGATTTTGAAGTTCCAGTTATGAAATCGGGACATAAAACGCTTACATAAGCTGCACATACCTAAAACATATGCCTCAACTTATTAATGGTAAACAAAACTTATAAAAACTAACAAAGCGAACCTTTAAGTCTTTTAACAGCCACGGGAAGCTGATTTCCGTCAGTTCGTAAATACACTCCTTTGGTTACAATACCAAACTCCCCTCCTCCAAGCTTTTCTTCTGTTATAACTAGCCTATTTCGAGGGATTTCCCAGTTTCGATTTTCTGTGTCCATGTCTTGTAAGTATAATTCGTTGTCGATGGCTTCTTCTTGACCATCCGTGGTAGACAGCGTGCTCTCCTGAGTGGAATCTGTGCTGATAGTGCTAGTAGATTGACTGATTCGCAGCTGGTTAATGAATTCTGGGTCATTTCTTATTTTCAACTCGATAAATTCTTGCTGCGTCTTGACCAGCTAAATTTAATTGAAATTATGGGCTAAGGTTAGAATCTGACAATTCTGTTGTTGCTTAATACAATTTCAAGGCGAACTTTTAGCTTCTCGAAGGAGTGTATTTGGGGGAGGGGTGACGGGGGTCAATTATGCACATGTATGGGTAAGAATTCTTTTCCAAGACTATTGGAAGTGCGCAATTTACATTTAACTATGCTGATTGTAAACAAGTCGCGGATGTCATATATGAAATGCCTTCTAAGGTGCTAACTCTAGTCCTTAATGACAGCCTGTTGATCACACTCCCTTTTATTACGTCAATCATCAATGCTTCTCTTTTTTAGCTTCAACATTTCCAGAGGTCTGGAAAACTGCCGAAATTACACCTATTCCAAAACAAGGCAACCACGAACTTCCTAACAACAAAAGACCGATTTCCCTGCTACCTGCATTGTCAAAGGTTTGCGAGAGAGTGGCTTATAATCAGTTTGTCACCTATTCGACAAATAAGGAAAGGCTTACCACAAAACAAAGCGGGAACAAAAAATGGTTCTCCATTGAGACATCTTTAATTCATACAACTGATGCATTTCTCAAAGGAATTGATGATAAGAAATTGACTGCCTAGGTGCTTTTAGATATGAGTAAAGCATATCCGACAGCGTTGACCACTAGATATTGTTACGTAAAATACAAAGTGTTGGCGCCTCAACCAGCGCGCTAAAATGGTTTAACAGCTACCTTACAAATAGATACCAAGTTGTACGAATTCATAGTTCCGTTTCTGATCCTCTTCCAGTTAAATGTGGCGTTCCTCAAGGCAGTATTCTAGGCCCCCTTTTATTTAGCATATACGTAAATGATCTACCAGAAGTTCCAAGGCATTGCTCTACAGAATGTTATGTAGACGATGCAAAACTGTTTGTTTCTTTTACTTTACACGACTCCCAACGGAGTGTCCAAGAAATGAATGAAGATCTCCTGCAGGTGCGCAACTGGCGCTTCGGAAATCGGCTACTACTGAATCCAGACAAGACAAAATTAATTGTTTTCGGGAGCCGACAGATGACCTCTAAGCTTCATGAATTTCACTTGTCTTTTTGGGAGAGGACATTTCCCCAGTGCAATCAGCGAGAGATCTTGGCGTGATTTTTGATCCGAACTTAACATTTGATAACCATATAACGACCTCACTGTCGGAATGTATCGCACGTCTAGCGCAAACTAACTGGGTCAAACATTGCTTAGACAAAAATACGTTGTTAACCGTAATTTTTATACATGCCTTAGTCTTTAGCAAAATGTACTACTGTTCGAATGTTTGGGCAAATTCCACAAATAAGAACGTTTCAAAATTGCAGGCCGTTCAAAACTTTGCTTGCCGAATCGTCAGGGGTGCGAAAAAATATGATCATGTAACACCCCGCTTAAAAGGCCTGTCTTGGTTGCCTGTTAAGGATCAACTGTACTATCGCCAAGCTATTATGGCCTTCAAATACATGACCGGTCAAGCCCCTTAATATCTTACATCCCAATTTATTACCGGTGAGCAAGGTAGCGAACGAACAACTCGGAGTAGCCAAAAGCTAAACATCCCTCTTTGCAGAACTGCCTCCGGACAGAGAACCTTTTATTACAGGACTGTTAAATTTTGGAACAATTTGGAATCTTTTCTTAAGTTAAGCCCATCTGTTGAATTTTTTTAAACGATCCTTAAAGGGCCAGCTTTTAGATAATTTTGTAAATACTTCTTAGTTAAGTTTAAAACATTAAAATTAGTAATTAGCTAACATTGTAATTAGTATTAGATTAAGTGTTGTAATCAGTTAATTATAAATAATGTAATATAATCATTGTTCCTGAAAAGCCCCTTTGGGGAGGTAACAATAAAGTATGTTATGTATGTATGTACTATTACTGCGACGGAATTTGATTTACAATTCTCTCTTTTTGTTTTAAAATCAATCAAGTATAAATTTCTGGATTTGCATAGGTTCAAGCTTATTTGTTGTAATTTTTTGTAGGAGGCAGCGTGGCTGAGTGTTCAGCGCGTCGGACTCGCAACCCGACGGTCCCGGGTTCGGGTCCTGCTCTGGCAGGGGCGTAGCTTTTCTTATGGTCCGTCGCTAAATCTATGTATTAGAGGTAAACATGGAAAGAGACCATCCTCAAATGGCCCTGTTAGATCTTTTTTTTCTTTCGGTAACTTATATGAGACAGAAAAAAGACTTATTGGCTAAGACATAGAGGATATTACATGGCCGCGCGGAGATACGAAATTTCTCTTCAAGTGTTGAAAAATATTTCACGAGTGAGCGCATTCATTGGTGTTTATATAATAAAATCTAGTAATATATTTTTCTGTATTGTTATCCATTTGTCATATTTTTCTAAATCAAATGAAAACATTCTATGCCTCCTTAAAATAGTTTGACTCGATTAATAATCAGTCCAATTCATGAACTATTTTATTGCCGGCCCAAGGAAGGGGATCCAGGCTAAGACAGTTTGCTCCTGCATTCCACGATCTCAGATTCCAGGTACTGGATTCCCCATTTTTTGTCAGTGGAATGTGGATTCGGCATTACTTAAGCTGTATTCTGGATTCCAAAGGCTAGGATCAGAACTCCACAGGAGAGATTTCTCGGATTCAATTCCGGATTCCAAAAGCAAAAATTTCATATTTCATGAAGCATATTTCATGTCCAATAATGAGAGCAAGGTATTAAGGGCCATTTATACGAGGAAAAATAGGACGCGTCTTACATAAGACGCGAACTGTGGCATTTATACGAGCATGTCTTATCTAAGACGAAAGCAGTTCGTATAAATAGTTCACGTCTTATCTCTGTTCTTGCCTTGTTTTCATGTGAATGTTGCCAGTAGCAACGGCAATCTACCATGGCGCGCCAAAAAATAACGCATGTGTACTGTACGTTCGCGTCTTGTGTCAGACGTAGCCTCCCACGCAGACGTTCTTACGGGTTCGTAGGAACGCGTGACGAACCCCTAAGAACGTTTGCGTGGGAGGCTAGTTTTATTCATGCTTTGTTGTTGTTTTTAGTTCTTTTTCTCAAAATTTCCCGTTGCGTGCCCCTGAGTCCTGCGTCAGTGACACAAGCATTCAGTCTTGTGCATTGTACGTATTTGTTATTATTAACAATAGATATAAACAAATGAATAATCGTTTCTTTCACATACCTCCAAATTACGTTGGCTGTTGGCCCTCATCCACCATTTTTGTTTCAATACGATGACGATCATGACAACAACAAGTACAGCTACAATTCCGACAATGATAGATGGCCAGAGTAGTTGAGACATACCATCGTCCCCGGAAGCTAAAAGCACATATAGCTGATTTAATATTAAGGCTAGTGAGGTGTTCTTTATTCCACATTTTTTTATTTATTCTTTTTTCTATTCGTTTGAGTCGGACCAGATTTAGACTTATCTCTTTATTTCTGCATAGGTGAGTTCGCATGTGAGGTGCTGAGTTAAAATTTCCATCATTTTAGTCTTCTTTTTGAACTCCATGAAAATGTGTCAAAAAATATTTTCATGGAAGATTTTTCAATCTGACAAAATCCAGAATACTGGTGTAGTTCAGGTAAAGGTCACTTATCATTTGATGCATGCTAGAGCGATATACCAGGGTAGTAGTGGAAACAACCAATGGATTAAATTCTTAATCTGTTTACTACTGTGAAAGGTTTGAACCCAGGAGTCATTTCATAAGTAGGTTGGGTATTATCGTCCGGGTGAACGGCTGAGACGAAAGCAGTCGGTTTATCATCAAAACTGTGTTAAATATAACAGACTTTAAAACCTCTTGAAAGCTTGGAACATATTTTATCTTGCTACCTTTTAGGGTTGATAGAGACTTTGGAGTGGGTATCTCTGCGAACGTCAAAGCTGCTTTGCTGGAATAAGTTCTTCCCATTGCATTTGTTGCCACACACATATAATTAGGATTCTCTTCCTTTATAGTATGTAAAACAAGGTTGAGAGTAGAAACACTTCCATTGCTGGTCACGGAGTCGTTGACGACTGTCGAGTTGTTTCTTAACCAGATTATAACTGGAGGAGGGAAGCCTTCTGCAGCACATTTTAGAGCTACAACTGCAGTTCCAGATTGTAATTTCACAGTACTGTCTTGGGGATGCATTGTGAAGAAGGGCTTCCACAACACTAAAGAATAAAGCAAGAGAACGAATATTAATGATATATATAAAATCTCCCATTTGCCCGCTCGGAAATTTTGGCGGGAAACAGTTTTATTATTAGATGTCATGTTGTAACCCCGAAGTAATTTCCAGCTATAATTATAGTACCCAGTACTTGTTAGTTTTATGGAGGGCCCCTACCTTATCTTTTCTCTGAAGCACTGGACATATCCTTGAAACAAAAATGATATTATTTACCTGTGAGAGTTGCAGTCGATGACCTTTTCCAACCAGCAAAATTGCTCGCCTCACACCAGTACTCCCCTCTGTCTTCTCTTTTGATCGACTCAAAACGTAACAGGAAATGACCCTTGATAGTACTAATTGAAGAATGCAGGAGGGGACTTCCATTCTTAAACCAAGTGATGGTTGGCAGCGGAATTCCGGATGCTTGGCAAGTCAGGTTGAATTTGCTTGTGGAGGGAACAGTAACTTGTCGAGGCAGATCGAGAGAAAAAGTTGGTGATAGTGGGTCTGAATCATAGAGGAAATTTTAATAGTTTAGATTATCGTAGTTTACAAAAGGTTTACCAAATTACTAGGCCAGCTTACCCTTTATTTTGTTTGTGTTTTGTGCGGGTAAAGCAGTTATTTTGTACTAACGTATTTTGCCAAAAATAATTACGGAAAAGTATCCCAGAAAGGAAAATGGGTAACAAGCAAGCGTAATTGCGGGAAAACGGTAAGCATAGATTCACCATACTTTGTTCGTACAGTCCATAATATTACTAGTGCATACACAACAAAAGCAAACCCACATTTTTAAAAACTAACGCGCGTACGTTCTTGATTAGCGCCCCGGCTTTATAACCTGTAACGGGCCATGGTATCAGTCATATATAGTTACTAAGAACTTTAATTGTTACCAGCCCTAAGGCGTTCAAATTGTTGAATGATTGCGCCCTTTTCTACGTCATGGTTTACTTAGGAGCTAGCCTTTTTTAGCGTCTCTTTTTTCTTGCCATTTCACTAACTGAGGAAACAGTCATACTCTTAACCAAGTTAAAAGCGAAGGAAGGATAGGCTGTCAGGACTTCAATTACTACCAGCCCTTTCAAATTGAATAAATGTAACTGGTATTACGTCCTGGTTTTCTAATCAAGTCTCTTCTTTCTTCTCGTTAATTTGCCCAGAAAAAGCCCTGCGAAAGAGGAATTGAAAAATTCAAAATATTTCCCCGATTCTGATTGGCTAAAAGCACACGCATAATTCACTATAACCAGTTACGGATGACCAAAATTGGAAGGATTTTGTGTTTAACAAGGAAATGACGTCAAAAATGCAGCGTTCCTGCAGGCTAAGGCACCGTTAACCGAGATGACCTGGGGACGAGGTTGAGTTTGTGAAAAAAAAAAATGGCGGACATTTCACTCGTTTCAAGAGTAAGAAGTAGGCGAAATTATAGCTAAAAACATGGCAAGAACAGCAAGAACACAACTCGAAGGGCGACATCTGCTATTTGTAGAACATTTGCGCAGCTGAAAATCCCTAAACGTAAACGTGCACTATCGAAGGTGAACTTAACATCGATGGAGGTAAGCATGATTTAGCCATGTTTTTAAACTAGGAATTATTTTGAATGAATAAAAAAAGAGTTATTGAATTCGGCTTTCGTATCATATGAAAAATTATGGAGATCTCGGGGGGTGTTACACGCCGCGGCCTACGGCCTCGACGGATAACGTCCTCCTCGATCTCCATAATTATTCATAAGATACTCAGGCTCATTCATTAATTGTTAATTATAATACATAGTGATGATGATAATGATAACAATGATAACAAGGGGTTTAAAAACGCATTTTACAACGCATGTACCAATTAAATTAGGACATTATCAGAATTATGAACGAACAGATTAAAATGAAGCTGCTATATACCTTTGAATTCCAGCTGAATAGACCCCAATGTGCAGGCCCAGGAGTTTCGAACCCAGCAGATGTATTCTCCAGAATCGCTTTTTGATGCATTGCGGATGACATAGGAGCAAACTTTTCTTTCTTCTCTATCGCTGCGTTGACCGCCGCATTGATTCTTTTTTCTGCCATTCAAATAGAATTCGACCGAATACGGCAGGGAGGCATCTGGATCTCCGAGATATTGCCTTGCACGCTCGGCGGTGCAAACTATTGTTATGTTGTAGCCCACTGGCACCACGTACTCATCCGGGAATTCAAGGATGTTGATAGTCAGCAAAGGAGCTAGAGGAACTGAAAAAGTTATCAAGAGAGCAAGCATCATAATTCAGGTTACTTAGAAGAAACAAAAGAGAAAAGTCGATTTGGTTCTATTTACCGGCATGGAATTAACAGTGATGTTAAAGGTGAAGACGGAAAAAGTAACTACTTCCCTTCATTAAGAAGTTAACTAATCGTTCTAGTGTACAATATATGTAGCTCAACTGCCTATAAACAGAGCAGGAATAGAACAATACAACTCGACGAATTAGAAGGCGGCTGCTATTTGATTAGAGGAATATCGTCCGCTACACCATTCAAAATTAAATCCTCTGAATTTCTCGAGGAAAAGAAATTCTGCAATCCAGCAACGCTCTATAAGAACATATACGAGATTATTAGGTAGCTTGCATCTTTATATGCCCCGCGCATTATTAATGAAGATATTAAGTAATGTCAATGAATGAATTGCAGTGAATCGCAAATATTGTTCCCTTTAAAGGCATGATCCTCGTCCTTAGTAATTAGTTTTAGAAGGTCGATTTTCACTAGCGTCGGAGTTTGCGTTTCCTTTTTTTTCTTTTTAACTCGTGGGGACGCGCGAGCGTACCACGAGTTATTGCAGGGACGGAGATATGCAAATGAGTCACTCGTTCACTCGTAGTAGACGGACTTCGTAATTAATCGGGTCCGAACTCGAGACTGCGAAGATCTATCGCTTCCGAAGAAGCACGCGCTCTCCGAAGTTCGGTGGGATCAAATTCTTCACTGAGAGCGTGCATCGTTCGGCGTTCGCTGCTCAGACTCAGAGTTTTCTTTATGGCAAATTTTCTACAGCACGGTTAGAGGTCTTACCAAATTTAAGACACGTAGGAGTCTTTCAAATGAGTACGATGGTTAACTTGGCCGATTGGATTTCAAGAGCCTTTGCCTCTCCAGGCGTTAAACTTGACGAGAAAATGAGCAATTACTCTTCTGACTCCGAAAGATCACGGGGGATATACAAATTCCAGCTTGCTGGAAGTGATCTGAAAGTAAGAAAATGTCATGCCATGCTATTCTTAAGGTGTTTCGATACAGTTTTTCAGAGGCCATACCGATATATTTCAATCGCCTTAAAAGTGGTTTTTTCCTTGTCAGATAGCTATAAAATTTTTACCAGTAACTGGCTATAGATTGAGATTTGTGAAAATGTAGTTTTAAATAAAATCGATATTACTATGACAACAATAAACAAAAAACTTTGAAATTGATAAAAGCCGAATTTTGCGTGATCTAGACCTGCTACTGAAAATCCAACACTAGGAACTTAAAGTTTGGTGTTTAGCAAACAATCTCCGAAGGAAGTAAAAAATTCTGTATGTTTGAATTCGACTAAAACGAAAATATATTTCAAACCTTAAATTTTCAATAGCGGTGATAGATTATTTAATGAAAACGTTATAAATGACTCAAATTATTCTTAAGTAGCGTAAGAATGATGCTTAATATCATATTTTGATGCTAGGAAATTTTGGTGTACTTTCGTTTCATGCGATCTTGAAATCTAACCCGTTTTCTCACCACTTGTATAAGTGCAACTTCATTCAGAATTTGGACTTTTAGCGCTTTCTTGTATATCTCCAAAACGACTCGAACGAATTTTTTTTAAAATCTGTTCACATAATCTTCATAATGTATATAAAAATGTCTGTAACTTTCATTAAGATTGATTCACTGCAGCACCTTGAAATTTCAGGACAAACTTATCCTACGAACCGGACAAAAATCTGCGTTACAACATTCACTGTTTTGACGTTATGCTAATTTTTCCAAAATGATGCGCACTATACATACCTCCATGACTAGTACATTTTAGTTTGAATTTATCGCATCTTTTGAATGTAAAACATTGACAATACTCACACTGAAATGTACTAGTCATGGATATATGTATTGTCCGGATTTTCAGTAGCAGGTCTAGATCACACAAAATTTGGCTTTTATCAATTTCAAAGTTTTTTGTTTATTTTTGTCATAGTAATATCGATTTTATTTAAAACTACATTTTCACATATTTCAATCCATAGCCAATTACTGGTAAAAATTTTATAGCGATCGGACAAGGAAAAAATCACTTTTAAGGCGATTGAAAAATATCGGTATCGCCTCTGAAAAACTGTATCGAAACACCTTAAGAACCTGTATGAGCCGATAATGGATGTGATTTTGACCATTAGCTTCAAAATAACAGCAGAAATCGACTTCGCTGACGAGGTGTATCGGCTTTGTAAAGCACATGTTATTTTATTCATTCGTCGCCATGAAATGCGTCGACATTGTTTTTTTTACTGTCAATAGCTCGGTTAATGCGGCTTGATCATACTGAACGAATTTGCTGGCGGAAGTTTCATGGATAACGCATTAAGTTAAAAAGTTTTCGCCAGAGTGACGTTAGCTTTCGTGCTGTAGTGGTAAAGTAAAGTCGCAAATAGCCGTAGGTTCCGGGTTCAAGTCCTGCTTTGTACATTCTTTTTTTATCTTCTTTCTTTCTTTCTTTCTTTCCCGTTTTTGGCTTGTTTTGTTTGCTTATTTGTTTTGTTGTTTTTCTATAAATATGTACCTAAATAACTGTTATTTAATAAAGTGCAATAAGCAAAAAGAAAAGTATTGTGTTTCCAGAGCAAAGATAGTATATTAAATATATTGTACATGGATAAACAATCCGAATTTCTATCATTTCCTACAACTTACTGTGGGAAAACCAGAGTTGATAACCATTTGATCATTTTCTAAACAACGTTCCCACGAGTTAACGATTGGCTTTCTTTGATTTTTTTTTCTTCCGACTGAGAGCCTGCATCTGACTAGAGTTATAAACTAAAGACATTTATACCTCTTTTGACTGACATAAATGCGCCATCTGAAATCAAGTAGTATTACAGTCAAGCCACGACTTTGTAAACGGTCTTACTAAAAGGATAACAGTAGACTGAAAAAAAACTGCTCTGTGCACTCTTCTATTTAACAGGTTCACGTTTACCAATGTCACACTCTAAAGGAGCGTCTTCTATTTTTTTTGTTCATGAGCGCTATGGGACAATATATTTACTGTATCTCTGTTAGAGTGTAAAATCTACTTTAACTGGTCGAGTTGCCGGTTTCTGTATAGCATACCTTCATCCAGGTTTTCCACTGGCACTTGAGAGCATGTATCGCCGCGGTAGAAATGCGCTAGGCAAATGAAGATGAATAACTGCATATTAACACAGCGTGTTCCCTTACTAGTTTGACCTGGAAACAACTGGGAAGAGACAATAAATGAAGGATAAAGTAATAACTATGAAAGCATCTTTACTTAACCGATTTTATAACCAACCGTTAAATTATTAAACAAGTAATCCCCAACCTGATTCTGATAACTGAGAGTCATGAATTACACCGGTTCTAATATTTAAACTTCACGATCAAGCCCTATACGGAATTCTGGTAGCATAATGTATGATCAGAGTGTATAGATGGCTTTCTCAATCCATTTCATCTGACGGCACATTGATGAAAAGGTAAAGGATTTACTTAAGTGGTTTGCAAGTGTTTGAATAACGGCAGAAATTGAACGTATAATTAAATTACAGCATTCGCTTTAGAAAGGACAGTAAAAAAATGCCCTGAGAAAACGGACAAAATTAGAAAATAATAAGAAGAAAAGGAAACACAATTTAATAAGTCTTGCAAAAAAACCCAATTAAAACAAAACCAAACCAAACAAACCAAAAAAAACATCATGATCAAAACCACCAAAAACAGGTAAATGTATTCAATACTGTTTTTACAAGAGTTTGCGACACAAGGAAATAACGAAATACTGTTGGTTCGGTATTAATGGTATTAGAGGCTAATTAAGTTAGCACGAAAAATAAAAACCTAAAATAAACACGAAAAAAAGCTTGTTAAATAATTATGTACCCTTGCGCACAGAAACACGCAGATAGCCAGCTTACTTTGGTATCCCGCTCAAAGCCAATGTGTAACTCTTCCAACACGAACATAGATGAGCATCAAACAGTCTTTTAGAGTAAGTTCACGCTTTTTTAACGGTCTTTTCGCAATCGTGTGGATATGAACGAAAGTATAATCCCTATTTTGACCAATAATGGCTTAAAATAACTGCTCAGTAGTTTCAAGAACGTGCACAACTACAGGCCACCTGTCAATACGGGTTGCATGTGACATTACTAAGACAAGGTCTTATCCGATTAAAGGTTTCCTTGAAACATTGAGAAAGGAAAAGGGCCAAAAATAGTATGTTGTAACGACGCTTGTAGACCTTATTCTCTTGAATTTGAAAAGAAAAAAAGGGTCGACTTGAGAAAAGAATCATTGGAGGGTAACAAACACGTTCATAGTATATCGGATAACGTTTTGTGCAGTGTGCCAATAAGAAAAGATATTCTGTATAGTATCACGGAACACTTACTCGATGTATAACTCTCCACTTTGGAGATCGGCAGGACGCAGCTTCGCTTCGACACCGGCAGAAATCGCCCCGAATCACCGTTCTTATGTGTGAACAGAAACCCCATTCAGGAAAGTTTTCCGGGTGCCGGCGCAGCAGATATATTCGGTATAGTGTAAACATAGCTTAAAGCTTTTTCTCGCTCTACTGATTGAATTAAGCATCTTTCACGAGTAGTAAAGCGAACATTAATATTCCGAAGAGAATCATTTACGTTGTGTTACGTAATCTATTAAGAAGTGAGAAAGGGAACATACTAGATGTTAGACAGCACCGCTTATTAATTGCGAAGATGAATTAAGAATTGTTGTGAATTTAGGTCAAGAAAAACTCTTAAAAGAGATTGACTGGTCATTTCAATGAACTGCTATTAATCATACTTCGACGAGAAATAGACGTGGTTTACGATGGTTTCCATGTCTCCAGCTATGTCTTTTTACGTGACGCTATTAGTGGTATTAATCATGTTCACATTTGAACTACGAAAAAATTATCTCAAGTCGAGTGCTCATCATGATTATCTCTTGCTCGTTCACCAAATTGATCAGTTGTCAGAGATTAATGTG